CAACCCCAACAGTCTGTGATTCTGTGATTCTATGACTTCTTTTACAAGGCAAGCATCCCCAAATGTGCTGTCACAGCCGCTTGTGGCTTATCCCGATAACGGCGCTGCTGGTTTTGTCGTGCTTCGCTGACCGACACCTGGACTGTCATGCCCTATTTCTGCTTATTTCTTTGTTCCTGAAGGATGTGCGGAAGCACTTCTGTGCCAAAGGCATCAACAGCTGAATCCACAGCAGATGAAGCAGTAGAGCCTGGCGCTCAACGAGACGCAGCCGTCAGCTTACCTGGTAAAGAACATCCGCTTGTGCAAGGACAAACTGCTGTTCGGGGCACTGGGGGTTGTGAGACAAGGCAGGGCCTGGCTGTGAGGTGCCTGGCACTCTCAGAGGAGCTCTGTGCCTCACAGCTTTTAGCTCCTGACCCTACAATACTTTTAGAATGAAGTTGTCTTCTTTTAGACATACAACATTGTTAAGCTCGTCTATTTTTTCAGATGTGCAGGTGAGGCAGGAGGGGATAAAGGAAGAACCGGCCAAAAAAGACTTAGATAAGAGAATGGAAATCTGCCTCACGGAGACCGAAACTCTCTGGTTACTGAATGTGCCGCCTGCTCTGGTGTCTGTAGAATCAGAAGATGCTGGAAGAGTTCTGTACGTATCCTGGTAGTTTTGTCCCCGCGTGTGCTGTGCTCAGCACACCCTGTTTCTGCTGATGGCAAGTCCTGAGCTGGCTGCTCGCCCTTGTTCCGACTACTACGAGTTGTCGTTTCACCTTTGTTTAAAGCCATATTGTGCTCAAGTATCTCTCGTGACAAGACAGCCTGAATTCCTTACAGCTCCATCTTGTCGATCAAGTCCGTCCCCTCTTTCACTGGTAAATTAAGGCAGGGGATGGTGACAAGAAGGAGAAGATTAAGTGTGGGACACGTGAATGACATGATTTAATTTGAATGAGAACAGTAAGAAATGGCAAACCTCCGCATTGATTCTTGCATGGAGCTTTACAAAGAATCACAGAATCACAGAATGGCCCAGGCTGGAAGGGACCTCAGAGATCATCTGGTCCAACCTCCCTGTCACGGGCAGGGACGCCTCTCAGCTAGATCAGGCTACTCAAAGCTCCATCCAACCTGGCCTTGAACACCTCCAGGGAGGGGGCAGCCACAGTGTCTCTGGGCAATTTATTCCAAAGTCTTGCCGCCCTCGTACTGAAGAATTTCTTCCTGAGATCTAATCTAAATCTATTCTCCTTCAACTTAAACCCATTTCCCCTTGTCCCATCACTGGACACTCTTGTCAAAAGTCCCTCCCCAGCCTTCCTGTAGGTTCCCTTCAGGTACTGGAAGGCAGCTCTTAGGTCCCCCCGAAGTCTTCTCTTCCCCAGACTGAACAACCCCAGCTCCCGCAGCCTGTCCTCGTAGCAGAGCTGCTCCAGCCCCCGGATCATCCTTGTGGCCTCCTCTGGACACGCTCCAACAGATCCATGTCCCTCTTACGGTGGGGACACCGGAACTGGACGCAGTATTACAGGTAATTGTTTATGAATAACACTGGGATATACAAGTGAGGAGGTCTTGGCTTCATCTGAAGCTCTTTGCAGTGCTTCTGGCTATAAGAAACCTCCCTCCACCACAAGTGACCTTCCCTGCTCAAGTCCTGGGTCTCCCCGTAGCTGCATCATGTCTGTTCCTGCTCGTGAGTCTCCTCCCTGGACCACCATGGCCTTCGCTGGGGAGTCAACCCAAGACTACGGAGCTTTTTGGCTTCCTCTGGGAGCCGAGCGGGACAGGGTGCAGCAAAGCGTGGTGACTGTCAGACGGGCGTGTCGTCACACGGCTCTTGTAGGCGTAAGCCCCAAAGCCCGAGATGTGATGTACGGCCGTGAGCAAGTCAAACAACTTGTCGGAGTGAGTTTTTTCTGCTAGTGTACGCACGAGTCTTGTGGTGGGACACCAGCCTCACTGTCTGTGAATGACACAGGTGGGATTTTGAGCAGGGAGGAGTGTCCTGTGAACCGGCCTTCGCCTGATCTGAACTCCCCTGAACTCCACCAACCAGGGGTCTGGGGCTGTTCAGCCTGGAGAAGAGGAGATTGAAGGGAGACCTTATCTCTTGCTACAACTACTTGAAAGGAAATTGTAGTGAGGTGGAGGTTGGTCTGTTCTCCCCAGTGGTGAGTGATAGGACGAAGGGAATGGCCTGAAGTCGCGCCAGGGGAGGTTCAGGTTGGATATGAGGAAGAATTTCTCTACAGAGAGGGCTGTCAGGCGTTGGCACAGGCTGCCCAGGGAGGGGTTGAGTCCCCATCCCTGGGAGGGGTTCAGGAGAAGGGTGGATGTTGCCTTGAAGGACGTGGGTTAGCGGTGTTGACAGGGCTGGGAAAGGTTGGGCTCGATGATCTTGAAGGTCTCTTCCAGCCAAAACTCTTCTGTGATTCTGTGATTCTGTGATTCTGTGATTCTGTGATTCTATGATAACGTGCAGAGGGAATTGGAATAGTTGGATTTTTTGCTGATGCCTGCCTCTGCAGATCATTTCTGGTTTAGAGCAGCATCTCGAGGTCAGAAACAGCTGCTGAAGGAAGATACGTAAAGTGAAATAAAACCAGGAGAGGAAAAGCTATGGCACGCAGTACCCTCTCCTGTTCAGCTTTTGGTTAAATGCACAATGCACTGAGAAGTTGAGTGCAGATGTTTTTCAGAAAGTCAATATGCACCCCCCCTTTTTTTTTTTGAGGGAGCAGAATAGGATGTATGTTGACAAGTGTGAAAATAGATTTAGGAAAATATTTGGAGAAAAAATAATTCAGACCTTCCATGGAGCTGCAAAGAACAAGGAATTGCAGTGCGACAAGATCAGCGTGGAAGATAAAGGTAAACTTTCTGAGTACTGTAGAGGAAATGGCGTTTAGTAAGAGTGAGCTCTCATTTACTGCCGCGTACTCACGGCGTTTGGGTTTACCATCACGTTTTGTTAACTTCTTAAGTGTTTCTTTGGGAAAACTCCTGCATCGGATAGATCGCGGTGCCTCGGAAGATTCCTCTGCGCAGGCAGGAGAGACTGCGGAAAAAGTTCTTTTCGTTCTCCCATCTCTGAGCAGGAGAAATTGTTTCCTCAATTTTCGCTCCCAGAGCTTTAAGTTCTGACAGGCCAGTGTGATTTGTGGTGGCCTTTTCTGCCTCCCCCAAAAAAACTTCTACGCTGGTCTCGGGCCGCTGTATCTGCTGCGATAAAGCAGTCGTTGCTGGGGCTGGGAGCTGCTGCGCCCTGCCTGCCTCGGTGCTGCTCTCGAGACAGAGCTTCGCCTTGTTCTCTGCTACGCTCTTGGAATAGGAAAGGACATGGTTCCTTTTTTTTTGCCCCCTTAACTTGCTGGTTTCTGTTTCTCTTTGCTGTAGCACAAAGAAAAGAACCTCTGTTATAAGATTTAAAATCTGGGGCAGAACAGAAGCATCTCGGCAGCCTCCGGAGGCGGATACATTCTGCAAGGGGTTCAGCCTCAGCGCTCAAACCCTGTGACAGAGGGCTATCTCGCTTTTCGAGGCACCTGCTGAGTTTTGCCTCGCTGGGGAGGTTTCTTTGTTGTGTGTGTGTAAGAGGCCAAAGAAAACCCAACCTTTTTCCTTTATTTATGTAAAATGAATGAGGGGGAGAAAAAGAAGTGAACCAGATTTTAGTCTGATTTGAAATCTTTATTTTCCCTTTTCTGTGTGCCTTGGGCATCAGCAGGGCTCGTTCCAACCCCCGCCGGAAAAGCTGAGTGCCCCGAGGTGAGGCGATGGGGCGTTGTTTCCCGTCTGTCTCTCCTGGCACAGTTCCCATTTTTCCATTTTCTATTTCTGCCGTGTTTTTCACCCTTCGACACTGCGTGCGCCACTGTGTCGTGTGGGGAGAACATCATGAAGAAAATGCTCGGTCTGCCTGCCTGGCTCTTGGAAGAGAGTTTACTAAAGAATCTTGGGTAGGTCTGCAGCGAGACCTTTTCTGTGCAGTGCCGTAAGTGCATATTTAAGCTCCTAAATGAGCTTAAATAGATCTTAAATAAAGAGAAATAATCAGTGATGGAGTTTGCTGATATGAACTTACTTAGGACAGGAGAAGGAAAACACCAGTTGTGAAAACCTCCAGAAGTATCTCCTCATAGTGAGCATTGGAGCAATAAAAGAAAACAAAAGAAAACAAGAAAAGATAAATAGTAGAACTATTTTTTGAGGATAGATTCTTCAGTGCTTTCTGCAGGTGGTGGAGGAGGAGTCTTCTTATCCCCTTGACTTTTATGTGCAGTTAAAACCATTATTCCCCACGTTATCTGTTGTCAGGCACCCCGAGTTCTCCGACTGTTCGGCAAAGTGCCGTTCCGGCTGGAAGCCCAAAAGAGGATGCAAGCCGTTCAGCAGTGATACTGGCATCGGAAAAGTTTCATCAGGATTTATTTTTCATGGAGAGGGTTTTGATGCAGAAAATGTTTCAGCCTAAACTTGCAGCTTAATTTAGGACAGTTGTAATATTGTTTTGCTTAGAGTATCCAGAGTTGGAACTGAGGATCTTTTTTGCTCTTGCGAGTCACAGAATCACAGGATGTCAGGGGCTGGAAGGGACCTCAAGAGATCATCTAGTCCAGCCCCTCTGCCAGAGCAGGATCACCTACCGTAGGTCACACAGGAGTCATGGAGTTCTGTCCCTGCAGACAAGTCCTTTCAGCAGTAGGCAAGGGAAAGGAGGGTTTCTGAGATGTGAGCACGAGCTTTTTTGGTTTCCTGCTCGTGTATCCCAACCATCCTTGGTGGAAAAATTGAATAAACAGATTCTGAGCAGGCTCGTCTCCTCTTATCACCACAGACTGCGACGTACTCAAAATATTAGATAAACTTGTTCCCTGACAGTGGAGATACAGATGCCTTCTGCTACTTCTCCAGCCATTTTTTGCACTGGAATGTCTTTGCAGTTTTTTTTCTTTAAATATACTTTCTAAGGAGACCGATGGTGAACAGAAGTTGGAGCCTGACAGACGTTCAGTGCTGTAGGAGGCGTTACCTGGACCCAGGTGCTAAGTAATATCTTACCTTTTGCAGGGGTTCCAAGTGAACACAGGGGTTAAAGAAAAAAAAAAAGGCAGTTTCAGTTTCTGAGGCAATGAGCCCGTTCTGTCCTGTCCCTCTTCAGGAACCAGCTGCAGCAGGAGCACGGTGCTGGCCAGGAGGACTCTTGATCTGAAAATCTGGCAGTTCCCCTGTGATTGTTTTGTTAAAGTTATCCGAGATCGTTATGATTTGCATATTACATAAAATAAAGGGGTGAGTGACCAAAAAAGCCCTCAGCAAATGCAGTCTGAAAATGTGCTCTACGCGTCATTTTCCCCAGCAATGAGCAACGTATGGCAGCACCGGGTAACTTGGCTGCGCTGTCACCGCCTTGGTGCTTGGGCGTGACTCTTTAAAATTTGACATCTGACTTGAAAAAAATCCCTGATTAGACATATTTTTAAGTCCAAGAGATTAGAAGCAGTCCTGGTGGAGGGTGATAATAAATCCACTTGTTAAATGCCCGGAATATAACTGGCACTCTGCAGCCTCATCTCCGATGTCCCTGTCGACATTTTAGGCACAGCTGTCAAAGGCAGCACGTCTTAATTCTTCAGATTTTCACTTCATTCTCTCTTTTTTTTTTTTGCGAAGTATTTGCTGAAAGGACAATTTTCTCTCCTGATGTGAATGACTGGAAAATATAAAAGAGAAGGGAAATGTTACTACTCAGGCTCCACCGTATTTGTGCATTTCAGATCCTGATGTCACCTCCGGCGCTGGTGGTGCAGTCGCAGCCATCGAAGAAGCTAAACAGAAGGAGCAAAGCAAGGAAATGAAGGATAAGGAAGAGCAGAAGGAAGCATTCACTGACCCACCAGTTCCCTCAGATCTAAAGCAAACCCTGGAAGAAGCCTCACCTCCCAGGCTGGAACAGCTCTGGTCGTATCTCTGTGATTTAACCGAAGGTCACAACGTGAGCAACATGGCTTGGAACAAAGTAAACCCGGTGAGTGAACAAGTCGCTTCCTCTAAGCTGTTTAGGCAAAGGTGTGAGCATCTGCAGTGTAAATAAACTGCGGATTTTGGTCCAAAATGTCATTTAATTGGTCCAGTTTACCGTGGGCGGTCACCGCAACAGCAGCATTAAGATAACAGACGTGATCTGTCACAGCACGGGAAGCTGAAATCTAAACCTTTAGTGCTAAACTTTGTCACCGTGGATGGAGTTCCCTGGTGAGAGTTCAGACACCACATCTTTGTTTCTAGCAGTAACCTGAGAAAGTGGCATTCCTCCAACTCTTGTCTAACAGGCACAGATTTCTGCCCTGCTGGGCTGAGTTTCTTTACTTCAGTTTCCACAGAGGGGAGACATCTCCACATAGGGCTCAGATTTTCCAGCAAAGTTCTCTTAGCACCACAAAAATAGTGGTTTGGAAGGAAGGTAAAAAGGGGATGAGAATGAGAAATGTAAAACCAGTGGGGTTGTTCCAAGGGAAAAAAAAGAGAGGAAATAAAGACTTTCCTGCTGCTAGTACACCAGAATTTAAATACCTTCTCAGGGATGTCCAGTGATAGGACAAGGGGCAGTGGGTGCAAGCTGGAGCCCAGGAGGTTCCAGAAAAATACGAGGAATAAACTCCTTCCCTGTGCGGGTGCCGGAGCCCTGGCCCAGGCTGCCCAGAGAGGGTGTGGAGTCTCCTGCTCCGGAGACTTTCCAACCCGCCTGGACGCGTTCCTGTGGGGCTGCCCTGGGTGACCCTGCTCTGGCAGGGGGTGGCACTGGGGGATCTCTAGAGGTCCCTTCCAACCCCAACACTCTGTGACTCTGTGATATAAGATTGGACAGATTTGTAGACTTCAGCCTTAGAATTGTAGGACAAACAAATACCTCCTTTTAAAGCATTAGTGTCACAAACTGCTTGTGTGTAGAAAAAAAAAAGACATGAAGACAAGTCTTGCTGCTGCTTCTTCTGTTTATGGAATGGAACGAACACTCCTTGGACTCCACCATAAAGAGGTAAAAGCTCTTGAGTTTGAGGTGGTCACTGAAGCTCCTTTTACAGATGAGACTGAAAGAGAAAAGTCATACTATGATGTGTTTCACTAAATATTGCGTGTTAAAAGGTGGTTATAGGATCTTGTACATTCATCTCGGGAAAGA